AAGGAGATTCACAGTTTTCTAGAACAAGCTAAGTTCAAGAACCAAGGTTCCACTGTAACTTCCCTAAATTAACATTTCAATCTGGGAATAAAAGGAAGACTTATGTGTGTCGGAATTTGTTTTTAGGCTTAAATAAAAAGCACCTGGAATGAAGGGCTAAATAATTAACAGGGGCTAACACAGCCAGCCCTCCTGGACACAGAAATGCACAAACATGAAACTAACAGTTTGTGAATCTAACAATTTACATACAGTTGATGTGAATCCAATGGGCCAAGCACTTTACACAAATTATTTTTAATTCCTGAAACAACCCCTAATTGTAGTGGTTGAATCTATAGTCGCTGATAAAGAAACTCCAGCTCACGAAGGTTAAGCAGCAATGTGCGGATACCACACAGCCAGTAAGCACTGGAGCCACAAAACTCCGACCACAGTGTCAGGGCCCATGTTTCCACAGCAGGGTCAGGCCCAGAGGGCACTCTGCACCCGCCACTTCGGTGTTTAATCATTCAGCTTTAGAGTAAATCTGAACCTGACCGACTTTTGCAACAATTTAGAAAATGTTGCTTTAGTTAATTTCAGAATCTTAAAATAATATTAACTGGCTGATACCAAGTTTTGTGTATGTTTCAATGTAATAGTTTTTTCCTTTAAGTCTGTCTATTCAGTTCATGTAAGTGTATCAAGGCAAATTCACCAGAGATTTTATTCTTGGTTAACAATAATGACCTGAGGTTTGGGGAAACAAAAAATAAAAAATAAGTTTGAAACTGATTTTTCTTGGTGGCCCAAAACCAAAGACTAAGGAAGACCACCGTGCTATTGCAAGGAACCCATGCCACTCTCCAAGGGAAGTAAGTTCTACACTTACATGCTTTCTAACTTATAAAGCACTTCACCTATTTTACCACATTTGACTCTCACGTCAATTCAATGAGCTCAGCAGAACTGAAAATATAGCCCTGGCCAGGTGGCTCCATGGGTTGGAGTGTCACTCCCATACACCAAAAGGTTGCAGGTTCAGTCCCAGTTCAGCAGGTATCTAGGTTGTGGGTTCCATCCCTGGCCAATGCGCAAATGGGAGGCAATTGATAGATGATTCTCTCTCACATCCATGTTTTTCTTTCTCTGTCTCTCCTCCCTCCCTTCCCCTCTCTAAAATCAATGAAAAAAATTATATCCTCAGGTGAGGGATAAAAAAAAGAAAAATACATATTGTACATTATAATAGCATTATATTTCCTCATATTATTTTATTCCCAGTTTACATAAGAAGAAACAGACTTCAAGAGGTTAGTTAACCTACAAAGCCTAGGTCATCCACTGGTGAATACCAAAGCTGGTACTATTTTCAGTGTACCTGAGTTCTAGTGTTCCATGTTCTTTTCCATAAATCACACTGACTCTTGAATGTACAAGAGCAATGAAGACATGAAATAGGTTGTCAAGGCAACCAAGGAATCATCTTTCCGCAAGATATTTAAGGAAGAGACCTGAGCCTTTTTTATGTAGATAGTGAAATTAGATGATTGAGGTTTACAAAACAATTTTCCACAAGGTTTTTCACTTTCTCAAATCTAACCCCAAATTCTTCCTTTTTTAATAAGTAAAATGTTATTTATTTACTTATTACATTCAATAGGAATTATCGTTCATAAGCAAGATAATGTCATGAATACATAAGCCAATAGGAATAAAGCATGGGGTTTTCAAGGGTATACTATTAAGCATTACTAATAATACTGACTTTCATAATAAATGCTGTAGAGATGAAAACATACAAATATGAAAATCAGGTTAGAAAGCAAACAAATTTAGATAAATAGGTTATATTTGAAATACCTATACTTCCAGTGTGGCATTGATTATAAAAGTCTTTCAATGTTTAGCCTTGTTGATAAAAAGCTACAAGCTGTCCACCCAGAAAAATGCACCAGATCTGAATTTTACATGTGATTTCAGGGAGTTTGTGGATGCACACCCAACCCTCAAGCCTCCATGGACCTTCCAGAGGTCTACAGGCTTCAGGTTATGAACTCCGGCCCCAGGTTTTCCAAAAGTTCCCTTGGGAGGAAAACATTTAAAAATAATTTCTTGGAGACCATGTTCTCAACATCAATCTTCAACTTTTTCAGTGGAAAGTAATCAGTTAACCATCAAGAATTGCTGATGTAAAGCTAAGCAACAGCCCTGGCCTGGTGGCTCAGATGGTTGGAGCATTGTCCTGTAACCAAAAGGCTGCAGGTTCAGCTCACAATCAGGGCACACCCCTACCTGGGCTGGGGGCGGGATCTCAGGTCCAGACGCATAGGGGAGACACCAGATCAATTGTTTTTCTCTCACATCAATAATTCCCTCTCTCCCTTCCTCTTTCTCTAAAAGCCATGAAAATATGTCCTCAGGTGTAGATTTAAAAAAACCCCACAACTAAACGGGGTAAAAATCCAGATAAAAACCTTAAAAGTCATCTAGTCCGATCCCCTTTATTACAGATGAGGAAATTGAGGTCACGTCTTTGAGGCCATACCTCATGTACTCAGAAGACAACACAGTCACCAACAATGGTTTCCCCCTGAGTACAGAAGTAACTAGTAGGAAATATTAGGGAATGAAACTAAATCTATAAGTAGCTGACATATGTATTTTCACTAGCATCCTAACTTAGTCCTTTGACAAAGGATCCCACGTCACAAACAGTTCAAGTGATACTCCAGGAGAGGAGAGGACATGCCACAAACCAGAGGCTGCATAGTGGACTGTCACTCATTTGGTCACTTCCCGGACTTGACATCCTGAAGCTCACGTGTATACCTGGTGGAGTACATTAGAGGGTTGTATAATCTAGCTGATATCAAGCCTATCTTCACCAAACAGCCAAGCAGCTTTAAAAGATGCCTGCAAGAAACAGGGTACTGAAAGTATATTGCAAGCATAAGAAAACGGCAGAGCCTAGTGTGAGTCTTCAGCAGCTACAATTAGAAGATAAAATAGGGGTAAATGTGACCACAAGTTGGACATACAATTCAAAATTACCAAGACTATCAAATTACAGCTTTATACCATCATTGACATTGCCCTGTGTATACACTGTCCCATGAGATATTAAAGATATTATAAAATCCACCTAACTAACAGCACATTTTTGCTGGTTAAAAGAAAGCATTGCTTCTACCCTGCAAGACTGAGAACTGGGTTGGAAACTGTTGGAAGAAAAGAGATTGAAGGAACCCTAAAAACCTCAATTCCAATAGAAGGATGCAGTCAGAAAGGTCAATAAACCTTTAGAATTCTAAAAGCAATTCAAGCCAGATACACTGAGCATTAGAGATCAAAGTCAGCACTTAGAAGAAAAAGCAAGGAGTTCAAGATGCTTCCAGTGCACAGGGAACCCCCGGGGCCGCTCTTTCCTCCACAGGCTCTTAGTGCTGGGGCCTCAGCAACAGGGTCTTTTACAGAACTGACTCAGTCTGCATGAACATGGGCTTTTTGAATGGCTAGAAAAGGCCACACCATTAGTAACATTTGTAGCTATGCAAAGTAACATAATAAGGGTAATCAAATATCATGCTTGTTGGCTAGTAAGCTGATCTAAACTAGGGAGCATAAAGGAATGCTATCCCACTCCTCTGCAAGAACACAATTTAGCATTTTGGCTGGTTCATTACGAAAGGACTGGCACAAGGCACAGCCTCTGTTGGATTCCAGACATAATACAGAGAAGGGAACGCTGGTTCCTAAGAAAGTCATAAAGGGTGTGTGTTGTTGTTTTTTTAAAAGAACTATGTGAAATTTGTCCATGGCATTCACATTCCAGAGTTAACTGTGTCTCTAAGAGCCTCACAGCCACTATATAAATAAATTTAAATGGTTGACTGCTTCACAAACCTGCGTAGGTTAAGTCCTAACTTTCTACTTAGGTTTGAGAGCTCAGGTCACACTGCAAAAGGGAACATACTTAACTTTTAAAAAGCTGGCCTCTTTTAAGAAAACTCAGGAGTATTTAATTCTTTGGCACTAAGACCGATGCAAATTGCCAGCAGTATCAGTAACCAGGTTTCCTCGACATGCATCATTTAAGACCGTCTCACCTTTACACATGGGCTGGGAACTGCTCGTTTTCTGCTTTACTAAGAAAAGAGCTAAAGTAAGAACGCTGCAGCTCCCAGGGTGAAGATGTATGGTTCTCGGTCAACTTCGAAAACCATTAAAAGTGCTCAAAGTGAAAGGGAACATGCTTATCTGTGCACTACTTATAAGGAAACTGTTTATGAAAGTCTTCAATAAAACAGTGAAACAAGAGCACTACCTCCAAGTACATTTTGGTACTCAAAAACGTAGAAGAGCAAAGTAAAGACAGACAATTTATTTCAATTTAGATATTGTCTTCAGACTTCAGATACTGGCATATAATCTTCCCACATCCCTTGGACTGGCAATATTCCACTGCCATTTGTTTTATGTATCGGTGGATTCCTTTGGAAAAAAAGAGTTGTTCAGCTTATCCATGATTACACCATAGACTGGAAGAGCCGTTTCATCTGACTGAAAGGATCAGGCTTTGCAGCAGTAACACAGACACACCCCAGACTGCACCGAAAGGGCACTACTCAGTCACTTCAGCATTTCCTAGGTCTTTACACAGATCCCCAAAAGGAAAATTAAAGCCAAATCAAAAATTATAAATTTAAAAATTTTAATCCAACACTGAATAAACCAAAACTATCCTTTTTTTACCTAACAAGTATTGCTTAAGGAAGTAGTTTTTAAAACAGAAAAACTAAGACAGAATTAAAAATTATGTGACCCTTACACCATGGATACTATTTGCATTGATTAGGCAAAGTCCAATCCAAAAAGCAAGAAATGCCCTAGACAACAAACAAACAAACAAACAAAATGTCCAAGAAGATGTTTCTCTCAATCTAACAATCACTAAAAATGCAGCTCTAGAGCCCGAGGCTAGCTCACTGCTATGAACAGAAGGAAAAACTGCATACCTGCTTCGGTTGGTCTTATCACCTGAGACTTGAAGGTCCAAGGAAACAAACCCAGAAGATGTAAAAGCAGGCTCTACAAACTGCGTATTCTCAAATAATCCTCTGCCAAATTCAGTGTTTGACCAAAGAAAACAAGCAACTCCACACTGAAGTGCTCTGCCTACTACTACAGATTTTAATCTTAAAGGAACTTGGTCTCAAGTAGAAAGGCCAACTCACAATGCGGGTGTGGCTAGAAAGTATAAAAAAAAGAGGTAAAGTGTAGATGCTGTCAACATTCCTGCTGGATTAGGGCTGTGTCTAAAACACATCAGGATATTCGCATTACCTTTTAAATTCTACTAAATCAGGTCTTCTTCCTATGAAATGGGACTGCCCTAGGAGGTCTTACACTTTTATAAATATTCCTTTGTCATTTTAATTTTGAAATGGCAATTTGGTTTTCACCATGTGAAAAACCATTTAGCAATTAAGTACACATTGAGATTCCTATAAAGAATTAAAAACTGTGTTAAACATTAAAAAAAAACTATACCCTACTGATTTTTTCACAGTCATTGGACTAATTTCAAGCAAATGTACAAAATTACCTTTGAATGGTAACTGGAAACATTATATAGAATTATATAGTGTGAAAGTGAGGAAGCGCTCGAGGGGTAGAGTCCCACTCTACTCTTTAAGTGAGGTGAGAACAAGTTCACTTGTACAATCTATCATCTATTTTCACTGAATGGTTAATTCTCAGAAGAGGAAGTCTAAAACACCATGTATTATGGCCTCATGAAAGTAAAGAATGGCTGTTACAGAACTGCATCACAAAGTGAAAGAAAAAGTTAAAGGTTTGTATGTTATAAGCCAGTCTAAAAATGAAAGTACATACTGTATAGTTCCATTGACATGAAATTCTAGAAGATGCAAACTAATGCATCGTGAGAGAAAGGAGCAAGGGCTGCAAGGAGGAATGGACAGCAGAGGGACGTGAAGAGACTTTGGGGGTGACAAAAATGTTTTGCATCTGGATTGTGGTGATGATATTGTGGGTTAATAATCTATCAGAAATTACTGAATAGTCCAATTTAAATGGGTACCGTCTATTATACCTAAATTTTACCTCAGTAATTATTAGAAGTACACACACATGCATTTAATATTAAAAAGGCGCCTGTATTAAAAAAGGCTTACTGTTGCTCTATGTGACCACAGAATGGTAGAACTGGGATTATTAAAGCAGAAATACCAAGAGACAAATTCCACACCAATACAAGGAAACATTCTGTCCAAGTCGTGCAGCCCAGGCTACCTCTGCAACACGCAGGCTCTCTTCACTGGGCCTGAGGCAACAGAGGCTCCCAGTATATTTGCAGGGTACAAATGATGTTGTCTTTGGGATTCCTATGTGGATAGATAGCTGGATGAAGACAGCATTTATGTTTCTTGCATCAAAAATTCCATTATTTCAAGGAAGACCATTGATGGATGTTTGCAACCCTGCTGCTGTGGTGTGTAATTCGGCTGCCCTCCAACTAAAGCATGAAGTCACCAGGTGGGATTTCCCTCAACAACTTCACTTTGTAGGAAAAGTCTATTATGTACCCAATGCAACCTTTTAGAAAACGGATCCAGTGTGGTTATTTTCTGATGTTTTAAAAAGTAATATATAAAGTGAAAACATTTAGAAAATAAGAAAATTTAAATTGATCTTAAGCACACCATCCACAAACAACAGGTGCCTGTATGTGATGTCTCTCTTCTGTGCACATGTGTGTGAATACACAGAGGGTGGGGCCAAAGTAGGTTCACAATTGTTCATATGGAAAATAATACAGTAATCAACAAATAATAATGCAAGAATAAACTGTCGTTCATATTCTCATAACCGTAGACCTACCTTTGCCCACCCTGTGCAGTTTTAGGTAACTTTATTAAGTGTTTCTCGTATCGTTAAGGCACTTTTTGGAAACATGCCTGCCGTGCTTTGTAATTTCCCTTGGACAACCTCTCCTCATAGACGCCAACACTAGTGCCAGGAGCCCCGCCTGCACCATTAACCACCGCTGTCTTATCCGTCGACAAAGGCAGACGATGTATCCGTGGCAGGCAGGACAGTTCCCCCCAGATATGCCCCAAACCCTAGTCCCTAGAACCCATGAATATGTTACCTTACATGGCAAAAGGGACTTTGCAGATGTGATTAAGGGTAAGGACCTTGGAATGGGCAGCTTATTTTAGGACATCTAGACAGGCCCAATCTAATCACAGGGGGTCAAAGAGCAAAGGACCTTTCCCTGCTCGCTGAGATGAAATAAAACGAGGAGGAGGAGAGATCCAAGGTGTGCTGACTGTGAAGACACAGGAACGAGGCCACGAGCCAAGAAATGCAGGTGGACTCCAGAGGCTGGGAATGGCCTCCAGTCTACATCCAGTAATAAAGCAGTGATCTCAGGCGGACCACCTCAAGACACTGAATTCTGCCAACAACCCCAATGAGCCATGAAAGAGATCCTACCCTGAGCTTGCAGAGAGGAATGCAGCCCAGCCAGCAGCTTGATTTCAGCCTAGTGAGCAGGTGTGCACGTGAGCACCTGCTGGACTTCTGACCTATGGAACTGTCAGATAACAAAGGTGCTTTTTCAGTCACTAAATTTGTGGCGTTTTGTCATGGGATCAATAGAAAACTAAGATAGGCTCAAACAGTTTTATTCAGAACAGGATGCTCTTATCACCTTGGCCTCACAGTGCCCACAAGGGAGAAAAGCCATCATTTGAGAGAAGCAGAGGGGGAGGAGGGACCGACATTGGCTTTACAGCTCTCCTTAAATTTTCCCCGATACACACAAATTGGCAGTTAGTCAGATATTCTGTTTAGCAGCTTAAAATTTACAAAAATTAAAATATTCAAGATTCTCCCAATAGTAATGAGCAGGGATGCCTTCCCTGTCTTAATCCACCTTACAGACAAGAGCCCAGAGATTGCTACAATTGACATTAAATGTTACCCATTAAATGCCACTGCAATTAGGTGCAATGGTTCTCATTAGTAGTCATAAACTCACCCTGTGGAGCTTATTTTAAATGCAGATTTCTGGGCCTCATCCCCAAGGATTGTCATTCAGAAGTTTTAGGGTAAGGCCCAGGAATCTAATTAGGAACAAAATTTTGTCCCCTAATGAATGACCAACACTGATGAAAGCATTCCCCACTTCTCCCACAACCACCTGAGACCTCTCTTATTCCGACCAAGGCCCAAAATGCAATTCTTGTCAGAAGTTAGCCTAACAGGTAGCCCACAGAACAGACTAAATAGTTAAGGGTATAGTTCTGATATAAACAGACATGGATTTGATTCTCCTGCTGTCTCTTAACAATGGAGTGTTTTGGGCAAGTCACTTAAGTTCTCTGCACCTCAGTTTTTCTCATCTGTAATAAAGGGAATGACAAGACCTACCTACCCATAGGGTTGTTATTACAGATTCAGCAGTTCTTGAAAGAGAGTAACTAGTCAGTTACTGTGATTATTAACACCACTATAATTCCATTTTTGGATGAAGTCAGAGCAAAATATTCATAAGCAGAAGTAGTTTGAATTCTGTAGTATTTTTCATTCCTACAGAGTATCTGAAAAGATTAAATATTTAATAGAAACAAGCTTCCACTCTAGACTGCATGGTATTGAGTATGTTTACAAGACACCGTAGTATGGAAGGTAAATGAAGGGAACCACAACATCCCTATCTCTTTGAGGTTACATATCCCCCAGAAGGCAAAATTTTATACCATACCTCTAAAAGGGTTGGCTAGAGCAAAAAGGACATTTTTCCCAAACACAAGCATTTGGGAAATGTATCTCTATTTTCACCTTAGGACATTAAATGCCAACTGTATGGACTGCTGAGACAACAATCACCAAGTATTTCAGTGACTAACCAGGCCTCCATTCTAATTGGAACACTGCGGAAAGTGAGACCTAACATGCTCCAGGTTACAGAGCAAGTTGAAACAGTCTCCTCTGTCAAGTAAATACGAAGGACACAAACGACCATGTCCCCAAACAACACAGGGTTCAACCACGTGAAAATGAATGGACACAAATGGGATGCGAACATCGGTGTGGCTGAGTCCACGCCAATGGCTGATGACACTGTCACAGTCACACAGCCAGCAGTTAGTTGGGTCCCAACTAGAAAAGTAAATTGGAGGCTACATTTTTAATAAGTACAACACAAAATAAATGATCAATTGTAAAGGATGATGTTGGAAGAAATACAATAATGACTTCATTACTTTTTCTCTGTCCTTGAATGTTTTTCCTGTCTCTGCCTGTCTTTATTCCTTCATCATTCCTTCTTCTCAAGTTTATACTTCACAGAAAAGGCAGGAAACATTGCAGATGAGAGAAAGGGCATCTGAAGAAAGTCCTTCTGTTTGCACTTGCTGGTCCTCAGACTACAGTTCTCCAGGGAGGGCAAAGCTAGCTGTCGAGGGAAGCCCATTCTCCCAGCTTTCTGTTTCTCTGAGGCCCATTGTGACAGTGGCACTTCTGGCCTCTCTCTACACTCCTTTCTTTCTCTCCCCCAAAGGAGAGGAACTGATTCATCTCACCGGGAAGAGGATAAGTGTCTTGGGTCCACTGAACCTCATTCCTGTACTGCAGTGATCCTTACCCTTTAACGGCAACAGAATCACAGAGAGGGCTTGTTAAAACATGGCCTTCTAGGTCTGCAGTGAAGACCACAAACCTGCACTTCTAACAAGTTTTTATTCTTTTTTAAAAAAGATTATTAATTTATCCTGGCTGGTGTAGCTCAGTGGATTGAGCGTGGGCTGCGAACCAAAGCATCGCAGGTTCGATTCCCAGTCAGGGCACATGCCCAGGTTGCAAGCCACGGCCCCCAGCAACTACACATTGATGTTTCTCTCCCTCTCTCTCTCTCTCTCTCTCTCTCTCCCCCCACTTCCCTCTCTTAAAAAAAAAAAAGATTATTTATTTATTTATTTTTAGAGAGAAGGGAAGGAAGGGAGAAAGAAAGGGAGAGAAACTGCAATGTGTGGTTGCCTCTTGCACATCCCCTACTAAGGACCTGGCTGTAAGCCAGGCATGTGCCCTGGTGGGGAATAGAACCGGCGACCCTTGGGTTCACAGGCCAGCGCTCCATCCATT